AAAAAAATATGTTTTAAACCTGCAATCTACCCTCTCTTGAAATTTAAATTGAAGCCTAATTTTAAAACTGTTCTTTTTAGCAGAAACCCCTTAGATGCACTGTTTTAATAAATTTCAATCTGATGAAGAAAATAGTCCTCAGAAAGTGGCACAAGGTTCAGCTGGATTTTTAATGCATTTTTGGGATTGCTGATTCAAACAAATTTCTGTGTTAAATAACATTCTTTTCTTTCCCATCAAATATTAATATTATGTATGATTTGTGTAATTTTTTTCAATTTTTTAAAGCAATAATTGAATATTTAAAAAATTTTCGAATTTTTCCGATTTTTCAGGAAAAAAAACAAGTTCGTTATGTGAATTTGGTTCGTTCTGCGGAGCAGAAAATGGCGGATTTTTGAGAAAAAAAACGTTCGTTATGTGGAACGTTCGTTGTATGAGGTGTTCGTTCTACGAGGTACCACTGTATTGACAAAAACTGTACAATTTCAAAGATAGGCATATCCAAATTTGAATTTCGACATGCATTACCTGAATTTAACCAATTGTTCCCATTAGAATAGGTTTTTCTGTGAAACTTGGTCCAAAAGCAAGTCCGATTTCCCAATATAATCAAGTGCAGTATAATGCATATCTTTAAACTTCTAAATCTTGTTTAAAAATGTATATCTGATGCACAAGAATCCAGATGCACACCCCCATTTCCCTCGTGCCATTCAGAAAAGATATTTGTGTGGTACAGTACATATTACAATATTAGCTCTGATAACTCAACAGGTCTATTGAAGAGTAATTGAACATTTGAACTGCATGCAGTACTGTATAACATGCTGGAGACCAAACTACAGAAGTGGAAGGAATAATATGCTAAAAACATTCAGAGATTTAAAGTGATGTATTGTATGTATACTGTACTGTATAATATTCATTATATGTACGCAAAAACACGTCAGAAGTACTCTTCAGTCTCTACACAAAAATATTTTGGGAATAGAAAAGAATTGTTTGTAGAAACACCACTTTCATGTAAAATTGGGAAAGAACCTCATATGAGACCAAAATAAATCTGCCGTGCAGAGAAAATTGTGTACTGCATACAGTACGACGAGATACAGTTCAAGAGAGTCGTCCAGCAAGCATGTTACACAAGTACTGTAATACATTATGCATACAGTACAAGGTATATGATGTGTATATACTGTATACATATACATAGGTAGACTCTCTCTACAATAAATGTACTGAATACAGTATGTATTAAAAAAAATTCAATTATTTCCACTGAGAAGAAAAATTCGTCCATGAAAATTTAGCTGCAAATTTCCGACTGCTGCTTTATTGAGTTATAGTGACATCTACATTCAATGCTATTGAATTAGAAAATCCGTCTTTATGACCCGACTGCTTATCTTATAGGGACACGCTGCCGAAATTGCGCTTTTGAAGCAGAATCAATTGTTTTTCTGGGTACTGCAATGTTGGATTTTGGGGAAAAACGTGANGAGGTGTTCGTTCTACGAGGTACCACTGTATTGACAAAAACTGTACAATTTCAAAGATAGGCATATCCAAATTTGAATTTCGACATGCATTACCTGAATTTAACCAATTGTTCCCATTAGAATAGGTTTTTCTGTGAAACTTGGTCCAAAAGCAAGTCCGATTTCCCAATATAATCAAGTGCAGTATAATGCATATCTTTAAACTTCTAAATCTTGTTTAAAAATGTATATCTGATGCACAAGAATCCAGATGCACACCCCCATTTTCCTCGTGCCATTCAGAAAAGATATTTGTGTGGTACAGTACATATTACAATATTAGCTCTGATAACTCAACAGGTCTATTGAAGAGTAATTGAACATTTGAACTGCATGCAGTACTGTATAACATGCTGGAGACCAAACTACAGAAGTGGAAGGAATAATATGCTAAAAACATTCAGAGATTTAAAGGGATGTATACTGTACTGTATAATATTCATTATATGTACGCAAAAGCACGTCAGAGGTACTCTCTAGTCTCTACACAAAAATATTTAGGGAATAGAAAAGAATTGTTTGTAGAAACACCACTTTCATGTAAAATTGGGAGAGAACCTCATTTGAGACCAAAATAAATCTGCCGTGCAGAGAAAATTGTGTACTGCATACAGTACGACGAGATACAGTTCAAGAGAGTCGTCCAGCAAGCATGTTACACAAGTAATACATTATGCATACAGTACAAGGTATATGATGTGTATATACTGTATACATATACATAGGTAGACTCTCTCTACAATAAATGTACTGAATACAGTATGTATTAAAAAAATTCAATTTTTTCCACTGAGAAGAAAAATTCGCAGTATGTGTTAAAAAAAATTCAATTTTTTCCACTGAGAAGAAAAATTCGTCCATGAAAATTTAGCTGCAAATTTCCGACTGCTGCTTTATTGAGTTATAGTGACATCTACATTCAATGCTATTGAATTAGAAAATCCGTCTTTATGACCCGAC